GACTATAAAAATAATCTAATGGAAGGGAGGCAACTCTTCATGAATTTCCAATATAACTTACAGAGTTACCTCTCTTCTATGCATATTACAACTTAATATTGCTAAAATTAGAAACTATTGCTAATCTAAAATACTTAAAGAATTTCTGGTATAATTGCTTTACAGTGAAAACCCTAGTCATGTTCTCTACCTTTAAACCATAAAAATTAGACTGAATAGCAATAGATTCTTAACCTATAAAATCATAATCTGGGTAAAATTATTTGGCATCATTAGAAAGATAAGACCTATATAAATTAAAACATTATTCAAATTTAAGTGACTGAACATATAACGTCTTTGCCTAAAAATGAAATAAAAGAAGATTAAAGGAATCATTTACTAATCATTAACTATGAGTATGTTTACCCTTTCAAGGAACCTCGACAGTTTTGGTACAAATATCCTTGTCAAATGATTAAAAGTATTAAAATATTACCAATCTATAATCAGGCTTATAAATACACTGATTAGTACAATTTCTATATAATGTAATGTAAGACCCTCAGTTTGTTGGATAAAATGTTTAATGATTTAAAAGTAACCTTATAAGAGACAGTTTTCAGGAATACAACCAGTTAGTTCTACTTTTAAGAATATTGAAACAGGCTTTTGCAGCACACTTCACAATTTCAGTATTGGAAAAAAATGAATGACAGTTTATTGTCATCAGACAGCCTTAAAAATTGCTCATTTACATTTTCTGCATTGGCAAATAATTCTTTCCTTATATCGTCATACTTTTTACAATACAAAATAACATGTTTCTCATCTTCAATGCCAGTTTTACAGATTGGACAAATTCTTTGGTATAAAACAAACTTGTGAAAGGATTGGAGTAGGCACCGAAACTCTGGGCCATTATGTCGTGCAACGTGTTACAACAATGTACAAAATGGAACAAAATTGTGTATACATATCAATAATTAAATAGAGGGGAAGTTCCTTTTTTTTTTCAGTATATTATAACCAAATCAAATATACAACATGTATACAGTTTGTATTTTAACGTTTTCTTTAACATAATAGCTCTAGTTAGTAATCCAATAATGTTGTTTTTTACTTTTATATCTTTAAGTTTACTTAATTACACGATGAAATTAAACTAACTCAACAAATTCCAGTACATATATGTAAGTAAATACTACAGTATATGTTCCCATGTTCACCATTCAATTACATAAACAAGAAATATCACAATCAAAGAATTATTTTGTATTAATTTTTATCAAATGTTTAAAGGCACATTATGCACATTTATGCTCTAATTCAATTCTTTCAACCGAGCATAAATCATTATTTTTACAAGCTTAAGCCCTTCAACTTACATATACTACACTACAACAAAACAAGTAAACAATTTATATGAAATTGGCTAAGAGCGACTCTTCCAACGTCGTACGGGGTAACGCGCGCGCGCTACTAACTAAAACGAAACTGAATTACAATCCTTTTGATTTTGAGAAACGCTGAGAATCGAATTAATATCCTCAGACTCATAACCGTCCTTCGCATGCTCACTTTTCCATCTCCCGTGCTTTTTAAAAAGTCTATCACATATATTGTTAACAGCGCTGGCGGTAGCGCCACCGCGTCTTAAACTGAGAGTCCCATATTCATTAGGGTTTAAGCCAACTTCGACAAGCATCTCACGTAACCATTCCCTTACTCGAGTATAAGATAAGCAACCTCATTTCTTTAATTTAAAAGAGTTAGTTTTCTTGCATGAAGATAAAGACCGAAAAACATGCTCTTCACTATCGTTTGATAAATCAGCATTTGAAAAATAAAGTTGTAATGTTGTATATGGACATGTAACACAAGTTGATTTTGAAATAACAACTGAAGAACCACGACTTAATTTTTACTAGAGCGTATGTACAAACTTAAGTAATCATCATCGAATGTAACATCAGTACATCTTAAATTTAACAGTTCTCCGATCCTCAAAAATCCTGAAAACCCTATGATTACAATTGCAAGCGATCTTAAATGATATAAAGAACAATTATCCTTGTCATGTAATAAAAACATATCTCCAATAATTTCTGCAGAAATAGGTTTTTTTTTTCTTTTTAAACTGGGGCGCTACAAAGTTTCTTGGCGGCATCTAAGATAAAACGGACTATTCACACCAACTATATCGTGAGACCATTTCAAACTGTAAAACACAGCCTCTATAACAGATGCCGAAGTACCGTTTTGTATTAAATTGGTCAAGAATGAAGCTACATGAAAATCACTTGCTGGAAATATGGAACGAATATCATTATCTTTGCACCATTTTATCCACTTTTTAAACTTGAATTAAAAGATTTACTTTGCAAAATAATGTTAGGTAATTTCTTGCTAAATGAGAAAGTACATCGTTGTAAAAAAACACTTCTTTCTTAACGTTTCCAAACACCCAGAATGAAAACATCTGTAACGGATAGAGATGTTAATAAGGAAATTACCATGAATTTAGGCTGAACAAACAAATCAAACGCTGTTCACAAAATCGAAAAATAGATACACGTGAAAATTTCGTACAACAAAAATAATAACATAATAACATAAATACAATGATTACAAAATATAGAAATAAAAATACTGAAACAATAAAGCTATTGCTTTTCAAGCCTTTTTTTTTTGCTGCACATAAGCATATGTCCTGACCCTTCCGGTCATACTTGGGCCCTTCCGGCCATATTTAGGCCTTTCCGTTCAGACTTCGGTTCTTCCGACCGTTTACCCATGAAACTTAATAGTCCTTCCGGTAATACTTGATTATAAATTTAACGTGATTATTATTTTTATGATCTGGCATCAAGTTTAACTGCCAAAACAGATCCCTTAAACTTTCTAGAACCAAAAAGAGTTTTTTTTGTTTTTACCATAAACATATATTTTTCTGTCACAAAATTCTAAGACATCCTTAACATAGTTTTTCCCTGTAAAACTGTTATCTTCAAATAATAAAGGCCAGTAAGCAGCAGACTACCACCTTGGTACAATCAGGACACCCATAGCTTTACACTCTATCCATAGGAACTCGAGAACGGGACCGCAGATTGCGGCGCATATTTTCGATCGTGTAACGGTTTTTAAAAACGTTTCTGCTACATCTAAATATCTTTAAGTATTATACCAGCAAATGGCCTCAAACAATATATTATCACTTGAACCCAATCTGTTACTTTTAAAACTGGTCAAATTTTACGGTATTATAAAAAAGACAAGGAGTGACATCCGCCATTTGCCGCAACGTTCGGCATGAGTTTTCCCCCTTTTGCTACACTTGATTACTATTTTTTCAGAATTTTGTTCCCGTTATCGTTGTCAACTATCAGGTATCGTAACGGTTTATTGTTTTAACGTGTTGACATGCACTAGTGTTTGACATGTATAGTCGGCATTATAACAGGCGTATTCGTGTTATGATTTGTTTACATGGAGAAAACAGACCTTTAGTAATATGGTCTAATAGATTTTGCCTAACTGAAAAAAAAGAATATTAAAACATGACCCATAGATAGATATTCAAGGCACTCATCTGGTATTCCTTATTAGGAAATGTGAAAGTTTCCCATGTATTGAGTGACATAAAGAGAGTACTAGAAAAATTAAAACAAAAATCAAGCATATCAAGGGGGGTAACTTACACTGAACGTTGCGGCAAATGGCGGATGTCACTCCTTTTCTTTTTTCAATATACCGTAAATTTGACTGATTTTTAAATTAGCAGATTATATTAAATTGAGATAAGATAATTAAAGACCATCCGCTCGTATAATATAAAAAGATATTTAAAGGTCAGACAAACAATATGTAAAGCTGGTACGAATTCGGATTTATGCGCCGCAATATGCGGTCCTGTTCCAGAGTTCCTATGCACTCTATCACGTGTTAATTGTTTTGCAGAATAAACTGACTAAACTAAACTTACCATATATGAACCTTCTGTTCGCTTTCTTTGCTTCATTGCACTGTTTGATAATGGACGCAGCTGCTTTCTCAGCATATTTCTCTTTGAGTCCTCATCATCGCTGGCTAAATCGTCTTACTCATATTCGTGTACAGTCAACCAACCACTAGGTGACTTGTCTGCCAGTTTTATCAGTTTATTGCGACGTTCAATCTTTTCCTTAGCAGTCTCACACAACTCGAACGCCTCACTGTGTTCCCCTGACTCAATCAGTCCGCTAATTTGAACGATGCAATTCAACAGCTCACAGTTATGATCCAACTGAATCTGATTCCCATTTGTTTTTCAAAACAGTGAATTTGTGAGTTTTGGCGCATATCTTTTTCTTAAAATCTGTAAACTTAGCATCAAAATACGATTTTATCTCATCTAGACTGTCAGAGTTCATTCTTGAATTTAAGTAAAAATTTAAGATAAAACTCGTCTGAAAAGCCGAAAAGCAAATCCTCGAATGATTATTTTACACACCTATAGTATACCATATACATGTATCACACTTTTCACGTGCACACCCCCGCCAAAATTAAACACAGGCGACAATCATAACCCCGCTCAACCATGTACGCGGTAAGTTGCCTGGCAACGTGTGTAAATACATATATAGATGGTGATCAAATGAGAAATTATTTGTCATGAACGTAGCAAAATGTAAACAAAGTAGTATTTTGACTTTCATACAAAATACTAAATCACTGTAACTGTACTATCTGCCAAAAGGCAACATATAGGCAAAAGATGGTTCATGTAATTGACCAATCAGTAACCTTTTAGAAACAAAAATAGGGCAATAAAAATAAAAAAGCTTTTGAGAAATGAAAAATATCGCATTTTCTTGGGCTAATGGGCCTTTTAAAAAAAAAATGAGGCAATCAGGCATGGGATGGAGGGAATCAAAAATTTTCATTAAGTATTTAGCGGTTTTTAGAACCATGTTTTTAGTTTATACCCTCTATCGATACGGTTAACCGTTATAATACATTATACATGTCAAAACATAGTAACACTGTGTAATACTTTGTTTACAAATTTCCGATACCGCTTGATTTCCATTGATTTTTAGTGTCAATATTATGATGAACTTTTTGAACACACGTGACTTTTATATCTCGTTAATAACGAACGGATTTACAGATCATGTTTAAGATGTACATGTAAGTATATTTTTTTCTATATCTTGATCTACATTTTATTTTGAAATTCAATGTTGTTTATTTATCCTTAATGTTAAAGTATATCTCATTCCTACGAGTATTTTAAATACAGTTCAAATACATGTGTCAAATTGCACAATGAATAATAAGATTTACATTGTAAAAAAAGATACTTGTTCTTACCAAATAACATGTAAATTTTTCAATAGAATTTATTGCTGACAATAAATATTTATAATACGGCGAGTATCGATCAAGAAGATAATATAAGTTTACATGAAATTTAGTAAACAAGTCAACCGTGTGAAGATGTTTGTTTTAAATCGACACGTGCACGTCTATACTACAGGCGCGTTAATGAGAAATGGTTCTTTTTTTATTTCAAACGGTATTTCGTTTTGGTATGTGATAATTAGATTATTTAAGTTACTTAATTTATTGAACTCGTTAAATAAAATAGTATTATGCTCGCCAAAGGCTCGCATTGTATGATTCTATCCAACTCGTTTAATAAAGTCAGGATTAAATAATATCTCCTTTATAACAGGTAAAATTGTTCTGGAACAAAATGTTATCATTCATCATATAAATGTTATACGCTTACAAAGTTATCAACATTTTTTGCTAGATTTATTTTATAACCATAATTATCTAAATGTTACATTTCTTTTGTTTTTATTCATATTAAGCTTTGTATTTATAGATTATAGTAAAAAAAAACACGGTAATTTTACTCAGAAAAGAGGCTATTTATACAATCCACAGTAATTTTGCCGTAATTGTCTAAGTCAATATGACAATACCATATATAAATATTTATGTATATTTTTCTTTTTTTATTTCATAATCTATTTTACTGTCCCCCTGAAAATATTATACTTAGTTCTAAGATAAACCCACATACTGTTTGAAACTTATATTGATTATATGTCATGTTGTTACTATTGTAAACTGACTGGAAAATAAAAGTGATTGTGGTTGTTGTTGGAAAATGTGCCCATTATAGACCACTCTACTTTAAGTTAATAAGATATTCTGAGTAAAATATAAACTAGTTAAGAAAGAATTATAAGAGCTGATAAATTATTATCACTAGAATAAATCACTAAAATCCACAGAAAACTTGTCTAAATACCCTTATGATAATAGAAACGGAGTGTTTATCAGTCAAGGTGGAGACGGACAAAACACACCGACAATAACACACCCTGTAAAACTCCCTAAGTAGACAAAAACAACAACAACATAAACTTTCTTTCAGTTTATGTGGTGGCAATAAGAATAGTGGATTCGGTGATATTTTAAATTTGTGAATTCTTATTTTCATTTTGATAATGTATATCTAGCACTTTATATCTTCAAAACTTTAAATTTGTTTAATTTGAAAATTTGCCAGCTCATTTCTATTAAGGCTGAAACATTTAAAATGTATTTATGATAAAGATATAATGCTGTGTCACGTTTATCGCAGCGCGCCTCCAGATTCATACTTACTTTCATAAAATAAGTAAAATGTAATTAAAAGTTAAATATCGTGGAGTAAACGAAGAAAGTATGAAGTAATTTTTACAATGCAAACGACATTTTACAATCTATATCAATTACTAAAAAATGAGGTCGAAATATGCAAGACTAGCCCTTATGTTTAAAAATACTGCAAAATCAGTCATTTACTGCACTTTAACATGTAAATTATTACTTGAATACTGAATTATTTACTTTCCTTAAAAAACATTTTCGCTTGATTCTGTAATTTGATTTTCAAGAAATATTTTGACTCATCTGGAGGCTGACTGTCAGTATAAATGTTAAATGTCACATTGAAAAATAATTCAAACAAGATTTAAAAGTATTAAAAATGCATATATGAGTACGTACTGAAAAATGACCGCGTCACGACAAAACCAACTTAATGCGTTGGCGACCAGCATGGATCCAGAACAGCCTGCGCATCCGCGCAGTCTGATCAGGATCCATGCTGTTCGCTTACAAACCCTTACAAGTATAGAAACTGATAGCGAACAGCATGGATCCAGAACAGCCTGCGCATCCGCGCAGGCTGGTCTGGATCCATGCTGGTCGCAAACGCACTATGTTGGTTTTGTCGTGACGCGGCTCAAATGGTTCATAGGGCTCGAAAAAAGTTCTTAAGATTTATCAAAGATATATAACTGTAATGTTAAAAAGCCTCAGTGGAATAATAATTGAGTATGTAAGATTTGAAACAAACAAACCCAGTTTGTTCCTTATGATTATTGCAAACCCAGTTTGCTCCTTATGATTATTGCAAACCCAGTTTGATCCTTATGATTATTGCAAACCCAGTTTGCTCCTTATGATTATTGCAAACCCAGTTTGTTCCTTATGATTATTGCAAACCCAGTTTGTTCCTTATGATTATTGCAAACCCAGTTTGTTCCTTATGATTATTGCAAACCCAGTTTGTTCCTTATGATTATTGCAAACCCAGTTTGCTCCTTATGATTATTGCAAACCCAGCTTGCTCCTTATGATTATTGCAAACCCAGTTTGTTCCTTATGATTATTGCAAACCCAGTTTGTTCCTTATGATTATTGCAAACCCAGTTTGTTCCTTATGATTATTGCAAACCCAGTTTGTTCCTTATGATTATTGCAAACCCAGTTTGCTCCTTATGATTATTGCAAACCCAGTTTGCTCCTTATGATTATATAAATCATGTAAAGTCATTTATTAAAACGTATGTTATCTAAACATTTGAGCTCATAAAAGTATGATGATTTTTGCGTGAATATAAATGAACATGTTTACTGTTATACTGAATATGTATTTCCCTCTTTGATTTCAGGAGTATAGAGTTTATATTTAGATAGATGGGATCTGTATGTTCGAAACAGTCAAGTTCTCTTGTTTTATCAACAAATCAATCGCACAACGCTAAATCCGCTCCTAGAAACTCTGTAAAACCTGTTGACTCTAATACATGCACAGAGGCCGCCAACACACAGCACGTGGTTGCTATAGAAACATTCAAAGGAATTCAAACGAAAGAACTAATTAAGTCATCAGGTAAACTTAATACTTCAACAGTTATGGAAGAGTCGAATGAGTCAATTGAATCGAAGCTTGACGAATTAGAAGAAATTATTGGTGAAAAGGAATCTGAAAAGGAGTCTGAAAAAGATGAAAACGAGGCTGATGAAGATGGTGAAGACGAAGACGAAGAGAAATCGAAGAAAAAAGTTCCATATACAGACGAGGAACTTGCGGAGTTTAAAAAGAGCAAGTATGAGTTTTTGAGAAATACTGTGACAGAAGTGTTTGCATTAGATAACTACCAAAATGAAGGTGGAGTGTATGATAAAAGCATTCGTAACGCATGTATTCGATTTTTCAACAGTTATGTGTCTCTGAAACGAGCAAGTAGAGAAGAAATATACAAATATCGCGTGGAATGTGCGGATATAATGATTGAAACAAAAATAGTGGATTTGTTCTGTGATATTATTGCATATACATATAAGAACGGTTGGGTTGACGAAGAAGGAAAAAAGAATGATCTGAAATATGCACCGCTATCAAAATCTTTACTAATCTTACTTAATTTCTCTGACTGTTCGGATGCTTTGACGGTATACCTATCGAACAAAGAGGGTTTTCTTGAGCTGATGACGGACATTTTGAATGGTTACAGGGACAGGCATTTAAAAGTGATCGAACCACCCTTAAAGGTAATGCACATATGTTTTCTTTCACTGCTTTGTCAATGTCCATTGTCTGTCTGTTCTATTAATCATACCAGACACTGAAATAGAGTGTCGAGTTTATATAAAATTATAGATTGTTTAACAGACATGGCCTTCCAGAGGGAAAGCATCCGATTTGATATCAAAGGAATGTTTTAAAAACTATCCTTTGTTGTTTTGTTTTACTTTTATGATGATCGGTGGTTTTACTTTTGTAAACTTTCCAACAAGTAACTTAGCCCTTTAGTTATGGATTAAGGACCCTGACGGATAATGTTGAATAGTGTCGTAATAACTTGAAAGCCCCCTCCACTCTTTAAATCAAAGCACAGAAGGCGCTGAATTTGTTTGAGTCTCAGAATGTCAGAAAGGTGAAGGTTGTGAGATTATAAAACAGTTTGTTTTTGTATAGTGACACCAATGCTTTCCAGCGTTTTAATTGTAGTAGATTGGCTATAAGACTAATTGCAACACTGATATTCGATCCAATGTTTATTTGAAACAAAAATGAGTTGCCTTAACTGGGGTTTGAACTCCAGACCTCTCGCTTCCTAAGCGAGCGCGTAAACACCTCGGCCACGGTGGATTTACATGTAAACAACCTGAAGAAAAACCATATTATTCTAGTTAGGGTTTGTAGCGACGCTAACTGTTGTTTAACATTTGTGTAAATAATCATGGCGCTAACTATTAGCATGTATATCTATAAACAATAAAACAATATTAGAAATCTTCGACCATTCGGGAATTATTTTGCTTGAAAATTAATCCACCTGTCATGTGACCATATTTACGCAGTGATCTCCCCTAAATGTTTTGGCCTTAGTGTTACATATAAAGGGAAGTAACCGCTTCAAAAAAGCGGACTACTTTCGGCACTTGCAATTAACAGCATTAGAGTCTGAAATTTCGCTACCATTATTTGTTTGGTCTGACGACCCAAACAAATAAAAATGTTTCTGTGAGTTTTCAGTTGTCACATGAAACTGTGTTTTCAACAGCGACGTCATTTTGTGAGCAAATATCAGTGCAGCGGCACAGAAATATGATGACCGAGGTCCTTAATCATTTACAAAAATGCTGCCAAAAGATGGAAAATAATTCAATGTTTAACATTAACTATTACAACCCATTCTATTCTATTAAAGGACATCAAAGCTGATACATTATAAGGCTTGACATTCTGATTTAGGCCACATAATCTTATACACTGTAGTGCAGCTCTTTCTATTTTAAGGCACATAATTTAATACACTATAGTGCAGCACTTTCTATTTATAGCACATACTTTGATACACATAAGTATGGCACTTTCTATTTTAGGCCTCATACTTTAATACACTACAGTGCGAAACTTTCTGTTCTAGGTCAAATAATTTAATACACTATAGGGCAGCATTTTCTATTTTAGGCCTCAAAATTTAATACACTGTAGGACAGCACTTTCTATTTTAGGCCTCATAATTTAATTCTCTATAGTGCTGCAAATTCTATTTTAAGACACTGAAGCTTATACTATAGTGCAGTTATTTCTATTTCAGGCAAACAATTAAATACACTATAATAAATTACTTTCTTTTTAGGCCAAGCAATTTGATACTCTATAATGTATGACTTTCATTTTCAGGGCACAGAAACAAATACTTTATACAGTACGTTGTCAATTATTCATAACCTGTCAATGAGGGAGTCGAACATAGGTCGGTTAAGGAGTCAGGACCTTGTAAACACACTTCAACCATACCTCGAGTCCTCAAAAGATATGTACAGACTGAATACGTTAGCTTCCTTGGCTGGTAAGATTTCTGTATTTAAAAAAAGCGGTATGCCCGTGGGGATAACTCCTCGGTGAGTAATTTAAGGATTGCTGACCGCGTGGGTTCAAACCCGGCCAGGGCCAAGCCGCTGTTTCCGTGAGCAAGAAATTTTACACTCATTGTTTAGTACTGGTTGCTTCCGGGAACGGATTCCAGAGTGTTTCAATAACTTGCATACTTTGCCTTAATCGATTTTGTAAAACATACAAGTTTTATTCGGAAAAATAATCACCTATTCAAAATATCTTTTACATTCCACAAAGTATATTTCTAAGAATTTTTTCTCAAATAACTGAACTTAAAATTCATTCAGTGTTTTATAGTGAAAGTGTTATTTATTTATGAGTGTTATATCATAGATTTATGGCAGTGTTATATTATATATTTATGATCTATTTTTATTAAGTGTTATATCATATATTTACGAGTGTTATATTATATACTTATGAGTGTGTTACGAATTACATTTATGACAATGTTATATATTTATGAGTGTTATATTATAAGTTCATTATTAAATATTAGTTAGATTGTTATACCATATATTTATGAGTGTTGTTTTATATATTTTAAAATAATAAAAGTGTTGTATTATTCATTCATCAGAGTTTTACGTAACATATGAATGAGAGTGTTGTATTATATATTTATGAGCATTGTATTATATACATGATATATTTATGAGTGTTGAATTAATATTTATGAGTGTTAAACATTTATGCGACTTTTATATTATATACTTATAAACTTATTATATTATATATAAATGAGAGTGTTATATTATATATTTATTGTTTAATATTTATTAGAGTGTCATATCATATATTTATGAGCGTTATATTATATTTTATGCGAGTGTTATATTATATGTTTTAAGGTATAATTAACGAGGAAGAATGTGAGATTATCAACACAAACAAGAACCTGGTGATGTTTTTAATGCTCGTTTTGAAGAATGGATTGAAAGACAAACGCCATCGGCATCGTGGTTGGTCGTGCAAGGAAAGCGCCTTTAGTAAGATATTATATAACGCATTCGTGGGCTCTGTACATTTAAATAAGCCAGTATAATGTCCATATGTGCACCGGAAGTGTATTGTCAGCTGTACATAGTGCTGTACATTGAAGGAGTTAAGCCAAATTGTATATAAACTGTGAAACTACGTGTATATAGTTCAATTTTAAACTGTAAAAATAAATTATGTACTGAAGTGCAAAGGCACATCCAATTTGTACAGATGAAATTCAATAGAAGTGCTTAAATTCAGATAATGGATCAAATGCGTATGGTTTTAACATTGAATGCTTTGTATTGGTTGGCTGGTTGCAGGCAAAAATATAGGCCTCTATATTTATATTAAAATAAATGATTCCTTAACATACACAATGTATAATGAACCTACCACTCGTTCCTTTCTTGCCCCTTGTGGCTGAGGGGTTGCCTTTAATGATTGAAACATAGGAATTAGTTGGAGACGACTAAATGGGTTCGAATTGCTGAAGTCTATGCATCTCTGAGCTCCAGCAGGTGAGGTGGTTCTGGTCCGTGGTGTTGCTTTCAGTTTAAAACACCCGAACTTAGCCAAAATTATCTTTCTTGTTTCGGCGCCACATTACTTATATAGTGCTGGTACGTCGTAAAATCGAACTAAACAGAACTCCCTTGGCTCGCATATTTTTGAATTTTCTATGTGATTGAAAGCTTCACGGTACACCCTTAATGTTTATGCTAGATTATTTCGACGTCCACGATCCGGTCATAATTTGATATAAATTTCAAAAGATTTCACATGATTGTTTACAAGTTGTTAATCCTATTATATTGCAGGAAAGTACCTTCATCACACTCAAACGTACATAATTGAGCATACAATATTTCCGTTCTTTACATACTAGATAAATAAATGCTGTTTCCTTTGCTTTTTTTCAGCAATAAGAAGCCTGGCTAGAAATGATGCAAATAAAAAATTACTGGTAGAACTATTTGCCTTTGAGCTTCTTGTGGAACTGGGAAACAAAGGCAACATTGCCGAACAGTACGGTAAGATGACGGTGTTAAACGTCCACTCACAGCAATAATTTTGTATATACATTCAGTCTCTGGAAAAATTAAACTCTGGAAAAATTAAAGAAACTATTACATAATGGAAGATATCACAAAAAGGCGCGTATGTCTCATGAAGCCGCCCTTGTATGGTTTCATTCATTAATTCTATAAAATGGTTCATGTTTTCATATCTTTATCACATGTTGGCTATCGCTTTCTGTATTGTTAGCTCGTCTGTAAAAAAGAAATCAGGCTTTTATGATCACTGCGGCGTCGTCATTGTTGTCGTCGTCATCGTCGCCGTCGTCGTGCAAAAAACCTTAATATAGCCCATAAAAAGTAATCTACAGGAAACTGAATACTTTCATATCATGTCAAGATGCAGTTGTTTAGCTTGAGGGATAATTCGGAAAGCAATTTTTTTGAAGTTATGCCCCTTTTTTACTCGACGAGCGAAAATACCGCAAGCGGTGCTCTTGTTTATATTTTAGATAACACATTTACGGCTTTTAACTTGAGGCGTTAACTTGAATTTAATTAAAGTGAAGTAGTTTTAACGAATACGAACATAAATAATATACAGTTTTAGAACCTGTGCACGCGGTAGGTTCGATACTTACTTAAAAGACACTTCTAAAGTATTGACAATCTTTATTACAACAGGGGTAAGAAAATTTAGATCCAAACCTGTCTATTATTTACAGAAAGTGTGGCGGCAATCTGGGCACTGTGTTTTGATAAAGATAATCGAACATTGGTTACCAGTAAACAAGAGCTCGGTGTAATTGAGTTATTGGTGAAGCTGAAGCTTTCAGAAGATGCCGACGTGAAGAAAGCTTGCATGGGCGCCCTCTGGACTCTACGAGAAGATATTAATTCTTCACCTGTAGAAACGTACCGAAAGCTAGGTACAGTTCGTAATTGTCTATGGTGTATATTCAAGTCTTATTTTAAACATTAATTGACACATTTACCATACTTAAAAATCTGCGTATATGTTCTGCTGATTCTCCTTCGAATTTAGACATTGCTCTTTACCTATTATCATATGTATCTAAGCGATTTTCTTTTTTTATCTAATATATTAAGCAATGGGTGTAATGAAAAGTGATTTTCGTGTTCGAGGCTTTACAAAGATACCGTATCTACATAACGGGCAAATTTTTATCTCATTTTTTAGGTCTAAAATAAATTAATCATTGACCATTCAGACATACTTAAGTGCTGTTGCACATGGGATAGTAAAAGATGATAGCCATGCTATGTAATTGATTTCGACTTTTAGGTGAAGAATTGTCTCAAAAATATGAAACACACAAGAGTGCGTTTAAGCGGAAAGGAAAACAACCAAAACAGGATATTTCCAGAAGATCAGGTGGTCATATTATGATTTCATATCAATGGGGGCACCAGGAGATGCTAAAAATCATAAGGGACCGAGTAAAAGCTCATGGTTATAAGGTAAAACATGTCCTACTTTCTATAAAAGTGGAAATAGAATAATGAACGTTACCAAGTATGAACATACAGCTGTAATGGGTTATTTTATTGTACCGTTAGACTGATCTAAAATAGACATAACAATGAAAGTCATAAATATTTTTACTCGGGTAGTTGTAATGGAAGAGACAATAGTTAGTAGGTTTAATAAGGGAAACCTTTAATTTCAAAACGACTGTTTATAAAAGTTAAGTCATTATACTAGTATAAACTAAAAAAAAGGTGTCAAAAATCTTTATCACTAATAATGTAAAAGTTTCATGCGCTGGATTGAGTCAGAGTATTTATGAATCGGGTTGTTTAAATGTATTTAGGTTTGGATGGACATAGACCAGATGGGAGGCTCAACTCTACAAGCCATGGCTGATGCAGTTGAGGGAGCTGATATAATATTGATGTGTATGTCGAATAAATACAAGAATAGCCCAGCATGTCGAGCAGGTATAACTACAAATAGCAGATCAATTGCGGATTGCGATCATGATTTAAGACAAGTTCTTTAATTCTAACATTGAAGTATAAATGTTATTTTTTGTCAATCCGTATGTTTCAAACTTTTAATATTATCGTGTAAGACAATAATCTTTTCCCACATAATGGTCTTTTTATGCAGGGATTTTACATTAAGTAATATTCTATATATTTGTGTATAATGATACGTTTTTCAGAGGCAGAATATGCGTTTCAAACACGTAAGAAGATCATACCGTTAAAGATGGAGCAAGGGTACAACGCTGACGGGTGGTTGGGATTTATCCTCGGTGCTAAATTGTTCTTTGACTTCAGCGGGAAATATCCTTTCGAGGACAAAATGAGCGGGCTAATTAAAGAAATGGATACAGCAATGTCACAAATAAATGGGACAGAGGTTGACGGGAAGGTGGAAAGTACAAGTTCACCATCTGTAAGTTTTTACAGTGATGGAATGATTTGTATTTTCCTCACTTTCATTTCTGCAAAAATAATATCAGTTTCTTATTCATTTGCATAGAATGAATAATGATATTATTTTTAGCTCGACTATTCGATAAGAATAAGTAGAGCTATTGCAGTCACCCGAGCGTCGGCGTCCGCGTCCGCGTCGGCGTAACCACTTATGTTAAAGTTTTTGTAATAGTTCAAATATTTTCAAAGTCCATTGACATATGGCTTTGAAACTTTGCACACTTGTTCAACATCATGACCCCAACCTGTAGACAGGAGGAGGTAACTCTATCAAGCATTTTGACAGAATTATGCCCCTTTTTCGACTTAGAATTTACGTTAAAGTTTTTGTAATAGTTCAAATATTTTCAAAGTCCATTAACTTATGGCTTTGAAACTTTGCACACTTGTTCACCATCATGACCCCAACCTGTAAACAGGAGGAGGTAACTGTATCAAGCATTTTTTTTACTATCAAGCACTAAGAATAGTCGAGCGTTGCTGTCCTACCGACAGCTCTTGTTTGATAATATAGTTAGTTATTCTTGTACATGTATATGAATCGTGACTTTGAAGTGCCAACCTCCTCTTATACCATTTAAAGAGAAAATTACAAAAAAAAGCCAAAAGAAATGGGAAAACAATCGAAAATGAAATATATGCCAGTCTTATGACATGTTTTAATTGTCATAAAAAGCAATTTTACTTTTGGATTTAACTCACTACAATGTTAGAGCATGCGCAGTACCTCTATATGCCTGGCAGAAGTCATGATCACCGAGTTGAAATTTTTTTATTTTTTTTTCCGGCGAATCTTTCATTTTTCATTCATGATCTTACTGAAATTGGTATGAACAGATGAATTAGTCGTCGTAATAAGCATTTCGGCGGGTAAAAAGGCGAGCGTGATCATTCAGGCACCCGTCCGGAATGTACCGAAATACAGTATATAGTGTGGTGCTTCAACGCTGTAAATAGTTTTAGTTTTAACCCTTTCACTGCCATAGGGACGGCTTAAGCCGTCCCTGTTATTTTCGGCGTATTTACCATATGGACGGCTTTAGCCGTTTCTATAATAATAATACATGTAGTAATAATAGTAAATTAATAAAAATAATAATAAAAATAATAATAAATATAAAGAAAATTATACCATCGACAATAATCATTATTATACTCACATATTTAGAAACATATATAACATATATAACTATTATAATACATATAACAAATAATAATAATTATATTAATTAATAATATAGTAATTTCTTAGAAAATCCTCTGGCAAATAGGTGAACAATAAAACAATAACCTCTGGCAGCGAAAGGGTTAATTTCCATATCAAATATTTTATATCTGTACAAACTTAAAGGTACATGCAACACCAGGCTCACACGACACTCGACAGGTGACGCCGTCAGTTACCACAGCGACTCCAGCTACTTCTGGAACAGTACATGCTGTGAGAAAATGGACTTCTGAACACGTCGGCAAATGGATCGAAAAATACGACCTTAAAGGGTACATTTAAATGTTATTGTTTTTTAATCTGGAAAAGAGGTGTTCCCTCGGAATTTTAAACATTTTTATCTAAGCTCTATTGCGAAACATGTTTTTGCCACTTTCGAGTCCGATTCATGGAACCAACCAGTAATAGTGTCATATGGAGAAACATAGTCGTGACCCGAATAGGGCTCGAACCCATGATCCCTGGGTTGAGAGGCAGATACTGTGACCACTAGACCGCCGCTTCCCTTGTCAGCAGTGAAACAACAATGTTATATGGAGATTGCAAACTCGGTTTAATAAAGTCTGTCTTTGAAAGATAATGTAGGTGTGGTAAATCTCTCAGGCCCCCTTAGCACCGGCTTTGGCAGTTTTTCAATCTTCAACTCTAACGTGCTGGAATATGTAACTAACTAATCTCGCGAACTGAGAAACGTGTTTGCTAATACTCGGAAATTTCATAAATTATTTCCAACTTAACAAGAAATCAAATACAATTTAAAGCTATTAACTACATTGTAATAACACTCATACACAAGCTGGTCATTATATCAGGCTGTAACGTTTTATTTTCTCTTTATCTTTTATCATATCAGGCTGTAACGTTTTATTTTCTCTTTATCTTTTATCGTATCAGGCTGTAACGTTTTATTTTCTCTTTATCTTTTATCGTATCAGGCTGTAACGTTTTATTTTCTCTTTATCTTTTATCATATCAGGCTGTAACGTTTTATTTTCTCTTTATCTTTTATCGTATCAGGCTGTAACGTTTTATTTTCTCTTTATCTTTTATCATATCAGGCTGTAACGTTTTATTTTCTCTTTATCTTTTATCATATCAGGCTGTAACGTTTTATTTTCTCTTTATCTTTTATCGTATCAGGCTGTAACGTTTTATTTTCTCTTTATCTTTTATCATATCAGGCTGTAACGTTTTATTTTCTCTTTATCTTTTATCATATCAGGCTGTAACGTTTTATTTTCTCTTTATCTTTTATCATATCAGGCTGTAACGTTTTATTTTCTCTTTATCTTTTATCATATCAGGCTGTAACGTTTTATTTTCTCTTTATCTTTTATCATATCAGGCTGTAACGTTTTATTTTCTCTTTATCTTTTATCATATCAGACTGTAACGTTTTATTTTCTCTTTATCTTTTATCATATCAGGCTGTAATATTTTATTTTCTCTTTATCTTTAATCATATCAGGATGTAACGTTTTATTTTCTCTTTATCTTTTATCATATCATGGTGTAATATTTTATTTTCTCTTTATCTTGTTTCTTGTATATTTTTAGCCTGTTATATTTCATATTCTCTATCTTTTATCTTATCAGGCTGTACTTTTATTTTTTCTTAATCTTTCATATTTTATCTTATCAGACTGTAAAGTTTAATTTTCTCGTTATCTTTTAGGACTGGTCTAGAAAACATGACTGGCAGTGAAATAGCATATCTGGCCAAGATACAGACAGATGCTCCAGAATTCTTCCACAAATTTCTTTATGATACAATTAAAGCTAAAACTGTTTCTGCTATTGCCAAAATTGGATGGGCGTTACATGACTTGTCAACGTGACATCGGAAAAAAATCATGTGATTCATCGTGCTTTGTTGAATAATTCTTTAAATTTTGATAAATCGTTAGTATTTAGTTATTTTTTTTGATTATTACTCTGCAGACTGACCAAAATTGGATGGGTCACATGACTTGTTAACGTGAAATCGGAATGAAAATCATGTGATAAATCGTGCTTTGTTGAATAATTCTTTATTATTTTATAAATCGTTCATATTTGTTTACTGTTAATGTTCATATCTAATTGTCTATGTAGATAGACTGGTGAAGAAATGCATGCTTTATTCTAGTGCAGACGACACCAACGTTTTTTCACAATAAATGGTAGTCGTCAGACGATTGTATGAAAAGCTTGAAGTTTAAATTGAACGCTTCGTGATAAAGTTGTAAATATAAAATAAAGGAAGGTATAACGTTATATCTTATTCAAGTTGAAATGAATTCTTCAGTTATTTTTAATTAATTTGTTCCTCTATGGTTGATCACATAATCAGGTTAACTTGTCCTTTGGTTTACTTACTTCGATTTTCAATATATTTATCCAATTTCTTAGCATAAACTTACTTATTTAAGCTCGATTTCGAAACAAGTTCTTGCAAATTATCAATCACTTTTGATTCCGCTTCCTGGAACCTACCAGTACTGGTATCATTTGAAGAAACATGGTCGTGACTGACTAGGGTTCGAACCCATGTTCCGTGGGTTGAGAGGCAGACACCTTAACCACTAGGCCATCGCTCCCCATCCAATCTCTTGCATACTGACTTGCATTCCATCCGCCCCTATAGTTGGCTCAGAGAGGAGAGTACATGTAGCTTCATAACATTCAAAATGACGTCACTGGCACCGGCGTAAATTTCTAAAACTTTTTGCTTACAACCAGAATAAGATCAATAAATCTATGTGGTTGTAAAATGCAATCAACAAATGAGCCGCGTCACGACAAAACCAACATAAAAGGTTTGCGACCAGCATGGATCCAGACCAGCCTGCGCTTCCGCGCAGTCTGATCAGGATCCATGCTGTTCGCTGTCAGTTTCTTTTGTTGTTATAGGGTTTGTAAGCGGACAGCATGCGCAGGCTGGTCTTGATCCATGCTGGTCGCAAACCCATTATGTTGGTTTTGTCGTGACGCGGCTCAAATGTATCTGTAGAATCAAAATCACTTTTAAGCAGCTCCGTGTTTTTTTACATTTTCGAAATGCCCAAATGCATAACGATAGTAGTGCATCAAAACACCAAATATTCGGTTCCGGTGGAAACACTTATTCTTAACATGCCAGTTAATAAGCACTGCTTTGTGGACCATCGGCTTTAAAGAAACTCCATTTGGGTCCAAAAGTATAAAGACAAAAAAATCTTACTAAGATCAAATCGAGAACTCTAAAAGAGAAAATATATGCAAAATATAATTGTAAATAATTCAATTGAAAATCATAGTTTGTGCAATTCTGAACCCAATTTGAGATCAAACGCTTACACTCTCATTCTTTGGTAATATCTACTTGTTCTTGAAAATCCATTCGAGCAAATGATCTTAAGTTTTGCACACAAGTTATTTGGTCCAGACCTCTATGAGATGGAATATTTATATCAAAAAAGCTATTGTTGGTCCCATCATGTCAAGAAAACCGCAGTTGAGTCCATTAAAAGGTTTCATTTGGAAGCCCATTAGTATTGTAAGTGGTAGTTCGAAAGTGCGATCTCTGGATTAATCAAACAGCGCATTAGCAATGGCCCACAAAATCGCTCTTCATTGATTGTTGATACTTTAATTAGATTAAATAGACCCATAGAGAACATGGCGCCCAGTCGGACAAAGCTGGTGATCTTCGTGATATAACTCGTCGTAGCGTAATTCTCCGACACGGTCAACATTTTGCTACATTTATATATATTGAACGGGCCCTGGATAGTTATTTTGTTCTGAATCAGTTTTTTCACAATCATTCTGTGAAAGATCAACAATGAAAAACTAAATTGTAGAAAGAGAACGGTAGGCATGTTGCTTCGCATTTGCAACGGATTCTAGATTATGCTTTAAACTGTAGTCCTTTTTTTCGACTTGGAACTGGTGCCAGAATTGACAATTGAAGAAAAATGTAAGATTTATGTCATTCAAAATAAAAATACGAACATATTTAGGTAGAGTTTTGCTTTCCGTACTCCCGGTTGATGTAAACCTAACTTTTAATCATGGCGTAGACCAGATAACGCCAGAAAACGAAAAAGCTTGCAACTGAAGCCCGCTCCAATACAAGCAACTTACAAGGTTATGCAAAGTGTTTGATAAAACGGCTTATAAACTGACGATATTGTTCCTTAAAGCAATAACACTTGTATCGCAATAGTGGACGTCAAACCACGTAGATTTAGTCCTGTCGATGAATAATATCTTGGTTTCGTTTTGAAGATGTTTAAAGTATTGCTCATCTTATCCTACAGTTGAGTTCACACCAAACTTCTCACCCTTGTGCACTTCTATGTGTGTGTTTTTAGTTTTATTTATACTGGGCGCCTGTTTACCATATGTCCCAGACTAGTCGGCCTCTATCACAATTGCTGGTAATGTAGAGCCTGCAACGGAGGACTTACTCGCCTGCAACGTCGTCGATGTCGTAGAGCCGCGACGGAGGTCTTTTCAAGCTGTCGATCGTCGTAGACCTTCTCTAGGACCAAATTCCTCGCTTCATGAACAAATGACAATAGAGGAAAGGCACCTCTTCCGGGAGCAGCAGCTCTCTTTAGGGCCACACCCTTCGTCGTTGGTAAGGTCACACCAGCTAAGTGACCTAACTAGTTCTCCCATCTGGTGTGACCTATGCCTTCCAAGCGACGTGCACGCCACGAAGGGAAGTCGGAAGAGTGCACTTCTAGTGCACTAGAGCTGAATTAGAAGTTAACACCGTGTGCACTTCTAGTGCACTAGACCATATGACCAGACTGGCCAGGGAAGGTGACACCTAAATGGTTTATTGGATAATTGCATATCAAGTGACAGGGGGGGGGGGGCATCCATTGTAAAGCTGCTGTAAGAAAAAAAAACTTTGGGAATATATGGCTACTTGTATCGCAATAGTGCACGTCAAATCAAGTAGATTTAGTCCTGTCGGAAAAAAATATGTTGGTTTTGTTTTGAAGATGTTTAAAGTATTGCTCATCTTATCCTACAATGTACGTAGTAAAATGTGTTTTATTCTATTTCACAATGGCAAAATTGATAAGCAAATATATGTGCTCTCAGTGAGAGAAAGAGTTAAAATAAAAAAAAAAACTTTTGTATGCTATGGAAAGGGTTACACTTTAACGCGAGTGCTGTAAAGCTAAAGGTATTTTTTCAGTTTATTTTTGTAAAGAGTTACTGACAAACACTAACACTCGTGAATGTGACGAATAGGTTCTTCTGTCCTCAAAAGAGTTCTGTCCTCAAAAGAGAGACTTTTAAAAGGTATATATTTTCTTTTGGAATTGTTGTATAATAAATTTTTATAGTTTGATAAACGAAATCACAATTTGAATTTGGATCTTTGCCGTGTAAATCTGATAGTATTGTTACTTAGTTGCATTACTTATGATTCTCTCTTTATCAAAAAGACCCAAAATAGCCATGAATAAGAACGAGAATGGACGCCATGTGGAGTAAACAAAGTAGAAAATAGTAAACAGATAAATGATTTTCCAAACCAATAGCCACCGATCACAGTCAAATTTCTTAAAAACAAAACATTCAAAAAGACGGATATAACAGTGATTATCAATAATTATATAAATATTTACATTAACATCTGTAATAGCAACATCGGCAAGATCTATGACTAGGGTCCATATGACACTGATGCGTCCATTGAATAATTGATAGCTAACATAAGCTTAGTAAAATTACGATTACATTTGAAGAGTATATTCAATCTTTATCCTTCAACTGTCAAATGACTTTATTTACATATCAGATAATTCACTTATTTAGTATATGCGTTATGTTTATCATGTTTTAAATGTTAATGTGTGGTCTTTTTTTAAATATTAAAATGCTACAAAAAGCCTGTTGGGGACATCTGCAGGTCATGCCGCGTGCAATTATCCATGCATTTACAGCCAATGACCACATCGATAAGAAATATTCCCATATAGCCCTATCGCTTTTATTCAGTTGAAAGAAACATTATTGTTAAAAAGGTTCTACTCGATTTAAATGTTTTCAAACCATAAATATTCCTTTCCCTTCCTCTCTTTACAATGTATATTGGTGAGCTCTCTGATAAAGCTGAGTTGACTGATATAATTAACTAAATTTGTCAGATATGCAGTTTATCAATAGAAATAAATGCAAATATAAAATAGATAGTGTTTAATAATGTTCTTAATTGAACGAAGTTATATCCAGTTCACAAAAAACGGTTACCGTGGGTATGAAAACAGGATGTAAAAATATTTTTATCAACGAGTGCAACTGTGTTAAAAAGCTGAATCTATCATACTAAAACATTGCTACACGTTCTTTATATATATATGGTTATACGTATAAATAGCTCTTTTTTTACTTAAAATTGTCGCGTTGAGGCGTAACCCCTTTCACAGCATACAATGTAACGCGTCACTTTTTGACACTATAGTGTCATCATTTTCACATTAAGGTGCGTAATTAAATAAAAACAACAATCCCAAATCGATATAGATATTACGAAATATCGTGAAAAGATTTCACTCCGAGTGTAAACTGATTCTGTTTCTAGCACGGGTGTAAACTGGTTCTGTTTCTGACACGGCTGTTTCGCTTTTAATCTCGTATTTTTAACACTTTAAAGAAATATAACGAGATAAAGGTGAGATGTAGATATGGTGCTAACACCTTGAATTCTGGCAATCCTTAATATTATTAAAAGTTTTATCAAATAACAGTGAATTATGAAACAGGAGATACAAGACTTTGTTGTTTTTCGTTCTCTTTATTTAACACAATATGTAACTTACATATTACATTATTGTATGTACATACATTTTGTTGTATTGTATGTAGTACAGCACAACATGTTTTTTACATTATGATTATAAACTTTTTTTGTGGAACTGCAATATATAGAGGGTATTAAATGGGTGTTGGTTCAATACTGAATTTATTAAACGAGTTGAATAATATACATTATGCGAGACTTGGTTTCTATTTTGGAATTCAACGAATTCAATAATGAACCTACTCTCTTTATCGTATATCCAAAATAAAGACTGTATTAAGTGCAAAAGAATCATTTTTCATTATCGCGCTTACAGTATAGCGCTAACATTTATAGCGTCCTAACAATATGTTTGTGGTATGACGTCACGTCAAAATATATGCAGGGGCCGTGCAATACCAACTGGCACGAGTATGTGTTAAATTGTGAAATCCAACAAATTATTTCTATACGGTGAATTGAAATAGCACATTTTCATCAGAAGAGCCTCAAATATCATTGAATATGTCTAAGATATTTAGAATATTACATGTATAATATTGAAAGAAACGTTCATTTAATAGCCTCGATTACACAATACCAAATAAGAAATACAAAATAAACTTAAAGTGATATTGTACAGCCTTACATCACATTATCTACAATATACATGTATGTATCTTATTTATACTTTGTTATAATTTACATCTCTTAGTCTAGTTCAAAGCTTCATCTGGTCACAAGATAAGTCCCATCTTGCTTGGATATTACCGTAACATCTAACAACGAAAGTGCGCCTTTTTTCCACATGCAATGGTCCTCTATTTTGTTGATCAGAATATCTCGATGTTATGCGGTGTGACAATGTCTTCTATCAAGCGAGGATACTTACTTTATCTCTACTAATATTGTAAAGTAGAAGGACGTTCCTTTTTACAAGGACATAATTTAAGCAACATTCCAAAGGTAGCTTTTTTAAATACATCGAAGCGTCTGGTGTACAAGATCGGATCTATAACCGGAAGAAGGTACAATGCGGTGGCAACCAGTGCTCGAATTGCACGTGTTTCCGGTCGGTCATTGTCGCTGCATGTGCTACCACAAGCAAGACCTGAAAAACAATAAATCTTAAAGTACACTTTTTGGTACACATATTTTTCCATTGAAATATAGTTACATTCCAAAATAATATCATATTTTTTCAGACTTTGTTCATAATTTGATTGGCCAAATAAGCCTTACGTAACAAATACCTCATATCTCACACATTGCCTACTTCTGCGTTACTTTTTATGTGCGTTGGCATACGTGCAATGGGGCCAATATTCTGTGATAATAGTGATAATTTAACTCAGATTTTGATAATTTTCTTATTTTTATGTAAGAACCAATTCCTTACCAAGTGCATTCCATATCAGGTATGGCATACAACAGCCTAAGTATGCCGCCATAAAAACACCGACAGTCCTGCATGCTGAGTTAAACTCCCTCCTCCGAACCTCACGTCGTGTATAATAGGCTGTATTGTCCACTTCAATCTTCTTGGTCTTCTCTTTCTCTGCCTCTGAATAGACAATGATAATAATAATAATAAAAAAACTTTCAATCCTTGTCCCATTTATTTCCTATCGACATACAGTGTATCAGTTTTTTTTCGCGAGAGTCTAATTTTGCTATATGCGCGTGCAATGAATATCGCTAAAAATAGATTCGCTAAATATTCCTTCGATATAACAAAATGAGTTGGCAAGTTTCTGAGAAAACAATAAATCTCTGACAAATAGAATGGCCTCTCTTTGTCAGCAGAAAAACGCAAAAAAAGAAACATGTACAGCAAAGTCTTTAAAATTAGATTCGCTAAAATATGGTTTATGCCAGAATCGCGAAATTTTCCATGAGCGAAAATAACCTTATGTACGGTAGTTCAGCCTGTCTTTGGTCTGGATATTCTTCAAGTTGGTTGTCTGCATACAAAATGAAAATTTAATGTCTGTGTTGCTACCGCTTCCGTGGTCGAGGGGTTAGAGTCGATAACTTTTAATCCAATTACCGTACCTCTCTGGCGTGGGTTCGATCCCCGGGAGATGCCTTGGTAGTTTAGCGCGGAGGAAGGTTTCGTTTGTTTGTTTGTTTTGGGTTATACGTCACATCGACACATTATAGGTCATATCGCGACGTTACAGCTTTACTGGTGGAGGAAGACCTCATGTGCCCTTCCGTACATTATTTCGGGCACGAACGGGCACCTGAATAGAACCACCGACGTTCCGTAAGCTAACTGATTAGGCGGAGGATATAGTCTAGTACTGGTGTATCTCTCCAGGAACGATGGTTAGGAAACTACCCGCCTATATGACTGAAATACTGTTTGGAAAGGCGTAAAATGAAACAAACAAACAGTCTGTGTTGTTGTGATTGGTTATATGGCAAAACGTTGTTGACCATACCATAAATATTTTTTTACCATTACATAGTCTGCATATAAGTTAAATGCAAGTGTACTTAACCGAAACAATAGAAAAAGTTGAGAAAATAATGCAATCAACTATTCAGGTATCTATTACCCCGTCTTTCGGCATTTGCTTGTCTCAGTTCTTCAACGATATCTCCAATATCACCAACAAAAGCGCTGTTCACTTCACCGTGTGTTTTTGACTGATTTGTCTCAATCACGTGACCTTCAACATCAGACACGATATCCATTTTAGAAACTATAAATAAAAGATGTCATAAAGAAGTTTATGAACTTTGTTTAAGATTGAAGCTAAAGAATAAAAACGTAACTAAAATTAATAAGTTGTGACCAAATCATAATGATTTTGGTATGCACTGACTGCACAATCGCAACTTTTCGGCCCTTTCTGTCTGTCTTTGGATTAATGAAAATAGCCGAGAACGTTCCGATTGCTGGTTGCATTGGTTGAATCCATGACACAAACGGACTTTAGGTTAAAGTACACTTTTGGTCATGTTGCTATTGATTAACGAAGAAGGTAGTTATTGATAAAGGAAGAAGACGGGATAAAAGACCAAAATTTGAAACGCTGTTTCATAGTTAAGCTTTATTTTTAATCATAACTTAAACTAGAATAACATTGTATTTTCAAGTCAAGTATAAATGCTTATTTTCTGAATACTTTTCCCTAACGAAAGGCATAATGTGAGTGTTGACCTAATGGTTAATGATAAATTAAGGTGTCTATCTCTCTCTCTACATAGGGATCATTGGCTCAAGCCCTACTCGGGTCACGACCATGTTTCTCCGTATGACACCAGTACTTTCAGGAAGCGGACTCGAAAGTGATTCATATAATTTGTAATAACTTGTTTCGCAATCGAGCTTATATAACTATGTTTAAACTAAAGGCACACCCGAATGGCGCTTACATTCTATGTGGTTTACTCAAAACATACCTAGAGTGGTACTGATAGTGGAAACCTCCTGGTCGTTTTTTTCAGAGCCTGAATCGCCAACTTTGTTTTGTTTTCTCTTTTTGCTGTCGTCTGGCATCGTAGGTGTCCTTGGCTCGTACGTTTCTTCACTGATAGCATGCGACCTAAAATGTATAGCGTAGAATAAAGAATTATTTTGGCTAGTTATCACTTTTTTCTACCTCATAATTATATTCTTTTCTAACACATCCCGCACTTTCCCGCGCTTATCCCAATGAATATAGAAGGAAAGAAAATGTAAATATGCAATGACATCATGGCAGTCGATCTATATTCAGACATGTGGCGTATTAATTATAAGGTACGAATAGTTTCAAGTTTCAATTTATTTGCAATCACCAATGCATTTGCCTTTGGCAATTTACAAGCACACAAAAAAAACTGATAGCAAATACTATGAAACAGTTATAACAAAGACACTAATGAAGTACAACATAATGAAATCACAACAACACCAACAACACAAACAAACATACTTTAGAACGGATTTAACTCAATACAGGATTGGAGCAGTACCATTAGATGCTTGCAGAAATCATGATCACAAAATAGACAAATATCGGGTTTTTTTCGCCGATGTTTACATTTTCATTCATTATCATACATATATCGGTGTGAAATGATGAATAACACCTAAAGTTAAAAGTTCATTCTGTTGGGTTTTAGCATTTTATCATTCAAGCGCCTTGTTTGGTATATACCGGAATACGGTATTTTTTGTAGTGCTCCAATCCGTTTTTTAGTCTCAATCCTTTAGAACTTACTTGTAAACTTGATAAAGTAGTATCATGCTCACTACAATCATGATAGCTACAAGGGTGGTGAGAACAATGACGGCCTCGTACTGATAGACGGCTAGATGTTTACCGTACAGGTTTCCTATAGAGCAGAACGGTAACTCAAACTTAGCCTCGTTCCAGTACAGAAAGGGCCCTATCGCAATTATTATACCTGGAAATGTAACGAATATTAGTATTTATAAACTTCGTTCTTACGAGACATGTTTTGAAACAAAAATTAACTTTAACATTTCAGTGTGTACGCAGTTGAACGTGTGCGTGTTCGTGTTGTTATGATATCTTTATAAGGCCTTCTTTTTTTCTGGGTTATTTTAAATTATTCTTCTTTGTATTATTCAGTTGTGCTTTTTTTCAATATTAATAAAATTAAAATATGAACTTACAACTCGTCTACAAATTTAATTTCCAAGATGTGTGTGTCCGGGCATTTTACTGTAGCATTTAAAAACGTTGCACATACATGTTCATATGTGTGAAGCAATTTACTGCATTTATCAAATGAGTTACCAGAAGCAAAATGTAGTATATTTTCAGTATCGATCTTTGTAAAAGTATTTCCATTTAAAAAGCGAAATCACAATTATACTTTATCTAAAACTTGATCAAGAATTTCTTTATTGTTGGACAATATACCTATGAAAAATGTCCAAATACACCCGATCTTAGAGAATATCTTCATTTTTTTGTTATCACTGAAAGGATTTTTGATTGTCCATACAAGGTCTATAATCAGAAGAATGATACATATAGCTGACCATTCGTAGGCGACCACACCCAGCACCAACATTAATGTCAAACATACCCCAAATACTTTGAACACATACACGTCCCTAAATGAAGAAAACATACAAAAATAATTGAAATTAAGTAATAATCATGAAGATAATAATCATCAAACAATAATCATAATAATGCCTCATGTAAAAAACAAACATTAATATAAGATTTCAAGATTTAATGTTCAAAACACCAGTTGGTCACAGTCCAATATGGCCGACACAACTCAAGTTGTGCGTATTTCCAATCATTCTTGTGCAAAATTAAAACCACCATATAAAAATTTATGTGATATGTAAAGGCGACATATTTATTTTGTTTCTCGTACTCTGATTAATTTCATTATTTAAAATTCTGCTGATATGTTATGCTGTGTATAATACAAGAACAGAATTTCTATTGAAATTATCCTTTTCTACACACATACACCTTATTCACGATAATTTTGTTTAACATGTTTATTTAACAAAATTCACTGTGGCATTTTTGACCTTACACTTTAGGAGAAATATTTTATCACGTCAGTTCCTATTAATTCATAATTGTAGTTTATTATACCTGTTATGCGCAACTTTATGGTGAAACAAATTATCAAGTGGTCGGACAACTTATTGAACCGATACAAGATCTTGATTTAGCTATTATTTTTGTATTTTCTCTAACTGTATGTAAAATATGTGTACAAAGTAACACTTACATTATCAGACGATGTGTATCACTAAGGTTTTTTTTTTAATGAAAGGTTGAAGGTTTCATCGATCACTTTGCAGTTACTTGATAAAATTTCTGGGGTTATGGCGTCAGTAGCATTTAATTGGCTCCTTTCATCGAATAAAATCTTCAGAAGCGATAATAAGAATACACTTAAAGAATAAATTGGTGATATGTTTTGCCCTAAGCCATCAGTAATGCTATCGTATTCAGTGCTTTCAGCGCTTTGATCTCATTTGTAGCGTTTACGTATCATTTTCTTTCGTATCGGCATAACTTTAATACGTATTATATTGATTTCAAAAATATAAAATGGGATCTTCTATGTTTAATTACACGCATTATGATCCAAAACAACTTGTCTGAAACAGTTTAGATTGAAAATTTTGTTAATACGATTCACAAAAAGTCCCTTGACTGGCCACCTTGAAATTTGGCGAAAAGTATCAAAATCTGACGTTGATTCTTGATATACCTTAACTAACAGAAAAACACTTACTTGAATGCTATATTGATACCGACAAAGAGACAATTGATGGCAAAGAACAGGTCTCCAAGCGTGATGAACATGTAGTACAACATTCGATAGTCTTTCTTGATCAACTTCCGCTTAAAAGTAAGCACTAGGATAAAAATGTTGAAGACAATGCCTAAAATAAAATAAATAAAAGTCATCCAGTCAATACGTACTGGTCGCAGTTTTACGTACAAGTCAATGGTAACCACAACAACCATTTCAAGGAAAATAACAGGACCCTTATCAACAAATCACTGGTAAAATCCCATCTATGCCATGACATGCCAAACGGAAAATCCCCACTTAACGCCCGCTCGTGCAACTCAAGTTGTGTATAGTCCTAATCAGTCTGGTGCAAAATTCAAACCACAGAAATGACCAGGCTGTGCGGGACAGACGGAAAGTAAAAGCTTGGGTAATTGCACTACTTCCCCCGCTCTTTCCCGCTAGTGAGGTTGGGCTTGTTCGTTTTATTTAGGTAAACGTTAAAAACCCACAATCATGGTATCATGGTTAGAACTAATTAGCATCTCTTATTTTTTCATATTAATTTTACTGCAACAAAAAAATCATTTCTATTATATCTTTGGGCTTGTTATTAAAGATACTATACATTTGTTTGATGAATTTATTTTCATTGTAAACATCAAAGTAAGATATATTCACAGAATTTAAGGATAAAAAATGCGCCACAAGTTTGCAGTGTTTAAACACTGCCACTACACATTACTGTACTCCTTAAATAGTGGTAAAATTAGATTTTTAAAAAAAAAATAAAAAAAGAACAATTTACGAAAGATATTTAAATCATTTAAATTCAAAATGATGAAAGTATGAATATGAGATTTCTTTTTTTTTATTTTCTCTCTGAACCATATCAAAGGAAAGGTAAACATCATAACTATAGAATTACAGGCATTAAAGAGACCACATCCATTCAGTCCACTTACATTGACCGTTGACGTCATTCTGAAATTTATGTATTTGGCCGTCGCCGCCGTCCCAAAAATAGTAAGTCAAGATGGAATACATTACTGGTTTGAACAAAATAATCACTTCTAATGAGAATGGAAATAACCTTTGACGTTAAACAGAAACAGAGAGGTATACCTGTTATCCCTAGAATCGAGGTAATGGCTACTGTTATTATTTCAGACACCGGCATTCCCTCAGCTTGTGTTTCCGGTAAGCAGTCCGTAACATTCTCCACGTAGTCCGTACCGTCATACACGTCAGTGACGTTCTCTGCCATTGTATATTGCCTGCGTCAGAAATTATTTAAATAGTATCTAACGCTTAATGACAATATAATAATAAGTTATGATAAAAATGGATTACTTTATGATATATTTTTATAAAAGTGTATATATTACAATGTGGCCATACCACGTGACTTTTCGAGTACGGAACACGCCGATTTTTCACCCGTTTCAGGTATGTTTTTTATTCATAACTTATTTATTACTCAACCGATTTTGATCAGATAAGGCGCAGAGTACCCGTAATTATATCAGTTATCCACGGTATATCAAAATTCTGAAAACCCCTGAATGGTTTTTGAGAACATTCGAGTACAATTTTCTTTTCATAGCCTGGGCCGAGGGGAACGGTACACACTCATTTGGCATAACAGGCGATTTCTAGCAAGTCATATGTTTTTTGACACTATTTCATAGAAAAATACATGTTAAATCTGATATATTTACTATTTCCAATGTATCGAGTGAATGCAGTGATGTTTTAGCATATTTTCATCAAGTGATGTTGAAATGATACGGAACACACTGTTATTTCAAAAGATACGGTACACACACAATTTCTGTCTAAAATAAAATGTATAAAAAATTAATTTAAATTATAATGTGAGTGATTTTTTTTCAGTTATACATTTTATTAATTTAAACGAGAACCCTGGGACCTGTTTTGCAAAGTATCAGTATGCCTACAGTTTGATGTAAACAGGATTATTTTTAAAAAAAAGGAACATTTTGAGAGTACGTTGCGCAAAATTCGATTTTATATGTTGAGCAATTAATATTTGGCTATAAAATGTTAAAATTTTAGGTAGGGATACGGAAGACATTCAAAATTTTGTTTTGTTTTTGATTTTCATTTGAAACAATTAGGTATATTCTTTTGGATTATAAAACGAATTGTGAAATTCATGGACATCTGTTATGTGCGATTATTGTTTCGTTCGAATATACAAATGACTGTCTAAACGTAATATGAATATATAAACAAACAAGAAGTTAGGAGTAAGTTGGAAATATATGTTCCTTGCAAAATGTTGTTTAAATAATCGAATTTAGAGAAAAAACGCTGGTTTTGATGTAAGTGGATTTTTTTAAATCACGGAAAGTTTAAAGTTTTTTTTCGGCCACATGATATTTGGTATGAATCATCTGCCAGGGTCCCAAACTAACTGCATGTATCTAAATTATCAAATTATCTACATATGGACAAATATATTTCGCAGTTTTACGTGCAATCAAAATTAATAATTTGATAATTTGAAGAACCCATATGGGAACAAGGCCTGTTATATATCGTAACGTAGTTTATACAAGGTAACCTTGTTACATATACATGTAAGGATATACATGTTAGGAAATTCGGTAAAATTATGCCTATCTTGGACTTTCATTTCAAGATGCATTTAACACTTGAGTTCATGGATATGTGTGCTTGCGTGTTTGTGTTAAAAATAAAATGATGTTTTAATAATACCCATTTTGTCAATCAAATGCTATGGATTTTGTAGACTGCGTTCTGTTTTATATACTACATGAAGTAGTTCGAGACCACAAGTGACTTCGATGTTTCGATTTTTTATGTGAGAAAGTTTTCATACTACCGTAAAGAATGCCGGTCGTTTTACTCAGGTGCCCGTTTGTTCCTTTATTTATACCCAAAGGGGCACTTGTAAAACACGAAAGTCGCCACATGATAATGTCAGTTTTATGAGCCGTGAAACCAAACCAAAAATGACCTAATTACATGCATTAAAAGTTATTTTTAAAGCTTCATACCTGTAAACATTAAAAATTTAAGCAATGGCGACTACATTTTTATTTGTTTGGGTCGTCAGACCAAACAAATAATGGTAGCGAAATTTCAGGCTCTGATATGCTTATTTGCAAAATAAGAAAGTAGTCTGAACCCCTGGAAGAGGTAACTTACCTTTATATGTACTCTAACGCTGAAAAAATAAGGGGGGATCACTGCCTTCTGTGATTTGATTTAATTAAACATGACCATGATATTGCAAAATTGTACCTAATGACTTGCTTATTATTAACAAAATATAAATATATATAAATTGTTATCAAGTAATTATACTTTTCAGCGATTTAGGTCATGACCTTGTTTTATGTTTTCAGGATGAAGCAAAAAGACATATCTTACTTCACTTAAACTAAAAGAAATAAAAAAAAAAACAATAAACAACAATGGACACAGCATTATATAACAACATTTTCTTTCTATAGAGCGCAACTACCTGATTCTGTGAAGATCGAAGTGTTTAACATACCCTAGGTGATTTTAAATAGGACAATTACATGGAGGTTGTAAATGTTAAGCGTGATCTCTTGAAATATAGTGCAAAAATACATATAAACATTAAAAGTAAGCATTATGATACATTGCAAAACAGGTTCCTGGGTTCTCGTTTAAAGTAATAAAATGTATAACTATGAAAAAAATCACTCACATTATAATTGAAATTAAATTTTAATATATTTTATTTTAGAATTATTACAAAGACAGAAATTGTGTGTGTACCGTATCTTTTGAAATAACAGTGTGTTCCGTACCATTTCAACATAACTTTATGAAAATATGCTAAAACATCACTGCATTCACTCGATACATTGGAAATAGTAAATATATCAGATTTAACATGTATTTTTCTATGAAATAGTGTCAAAAAACATATGACTTGCTAGAAATTGCTTGTTATGACAAATGAGTGTGTACCGTTCCCCTCGGCCCAGGCCATGAAAAGAAAACTGTACTCGAATGTTCTCAAAAACCATTCAGGGGTTTTCAGAATTTTATATACCGTAAATAGCTGATATAATTACGGGTACTCTGCGCCTTATCTGATCAAAATCGGTTGAGTAATAAATAAGTTGTGAATAAAAAACATACCTGAATCGGGTGAAAAATCGGCGTGTTCCGTACCCGAAAAGTCACGTGGTATGGCCACATTGTATTATCCTTTTAATGACTAACTGATCAACACTAGTCTTCTAGCTAATATAAACAAATCTTCTAAAAGCAATTTGTTAATGATGTTTCTATCTTTTAAACAAATCTATCCCTTTTTAAGATGTCTTCTGTAAGTTTCAAAGACTACAGAGCAGAAGCGCTCAAATCAGGTATTTATATATAAGACTGTTGTTACTGAATTGTCGACAAACACTAACGCCACCTAGTGTCAGTAATAACACTGACGAACCCATACGTGATTTGGAGTGTTCATGTCAATGTCACGTGATATGATTCGTCATTGAAATACACCTCTGGGTATGACGTTGTCGAGTTTCTGATTTCTGCCACCATAAAGCAATACGTAATTCAAAGTTTCAAGTGAAAAATGGATACCAGACTTTTTTGACAATTTCGAAAACCAATGAAAATGGAACAAGCTTAAATGACAATCGAGCTCAAAGTTAACTTATTTATGAATCTTGCATATCTCGTGGTGGATGGAAACCATACAATACCTTTCCAATTACCTTGTACCGCTATGAAAATATTTGAAAATTTATATAAAATAAACATTTAAACCCTAACATTTTTATTTCATCATCATTTCTCATTGACACTGGATCTCATTTTCAGAATAATAAGTTCTTTAAAGAAAGTAATGTGTGTAGAACATTTATAATATAGCCTTGCCTTAAACAATTTGCAAAAGTAAAGATGAATTTTTAAATATAAGTAACCTCAACTCATTTTTCTTTTATTACAATAAGAATTGTCGCTATTTCAACTATTATAATCATATATGAGCCGCGTCACGACAAAACCAACATAACGGGTTTGCGACCAGCATGAATCCAGACCAGCCTGCGCATCAGGATCCATGCTGTTCGCTATCAGATTCTCTACTTGTTATAGAGTATGTAAGCGAACAGCATGGATCCTGATCAGACTGCGCGGATGCGCAGGCTGGTCTTGATACATGCTGGTCGCAAACGCACTATGTTGGTTTTGTCGTGACGCGGCTCATATATTTTTGTTGCATTTGGTATAGAGCCGATGTATTTGTTGGCCCTAGAACTAGGTAATATTATTTCATGTTTTTAGCCAAGACATATGTACTAAGATTTGACAATTACATTTACATAGCTACCTTATCACATATAAAACAAGAGTATTCAAGTTGTTATCTTAAACTAACAGTATTAGGCCAAACAAATATTTCAAGATTTCCAAAACTCTCAAAGTTTTATCAAAGTTTTAATATATTGCATAACATATTATTAAACACTTCGATAAAATAAAACAAACTTACTGTGCTACGCTTAATTGAAGAGAAAGCTATGGAGGGAAACCTGATATGCAAAGTTTTTATATTAAATGGAGACACATGCAAAATCTTCATTTCTTCATTTTGAATTTTTCATATATTATTATGTAAATGTTATCGAAATGAATACACTAGGCAGTAAAAGGAACCAAACTTTTCTTATTATAAAGAATAAAATGGCGATTTCCTAACTTGACCCGCGTTGGTCAGGTAAGAGCGCAACAGTTGTCACAGTGAACTCTCGAAACGTTAAAGAACATGTCAAATTTAGACTTGCTCCAATCATACAATATCCACAATATCTGTTATTGTAACTTCCAGAGTTTGTTCAAGTCAAATGACTTGTTTTAAAACAACTCGGTGATTATGTCGTCGTCTAAATTTTGTTCAACATTATATAGATATATTTAAGCTTTAAACCCAAAATATATAGAATTGATACTGAAATTCATGCTGGAGCTTTAAAAAATGTCATTTTAGCGTGACTTGAATACATATTTAGATTATTTTAATATTTTTGTCATTAATTTGCCTGAGTATAAGAAGCTCAGAAAAACCAAGGACAAATTTAATATGCCGAACTATTTACACCAGGCAATCTAAGATAACAAACGATAAGATATACAGGCCTGGCATAAATCTAGAACATAACACATATATATGTGATCACTCAACATGTTTGGAATTTCTTTAATGGTCTGTATAAAAAATGATTTTGTATCTTATTATTTTGATTAACACTTCAAACATTTTAATTTGCTTTCTTGAAAGAGACTTATCTATTATATACTGATAGCTGAAATATTGAGAAATATGGATAAAATAAAATGAGCCGTGTCACGACAAAACCAACATAATGGGTTTGCGACCAGTACGGATCCAGACCAGCCTGCGCATCCGCGCAGTCTGATCAGGATCCATGCTGTTCGCTTTCAGTTTCTTTACTTGTTTTAGGGTCTGTAAGCGAACAGCATGGATCCTGATAAGATTGTGCGGATGTCGTGACACGGCTCAAATGCATATGTTTATTCTTTTATAACTGAAGACGTTGTGTTGCATGCATAGATGAAATGATGCATTGTTGAATAAGCTACTGCTTTCCTCCTATTGTCGTGGTATATTTAGATTTTTTTTTTGACAAGATTGCCTCTTGTTCATCTGTCGGTCCACCCTTAAGCAATCTTAAAAAAACTACTGATTTCCACAGGTCTATTGGTGTGGTATTTTTTTTTTTTTTTTTTGGACAAGATTGCCTTTCACCTATTAGTTCGTATATCTGTGAACACTAACGCATTTGACCCTGTATCTGACTGTAACTTTTTTTTTACTTTTCAGTTACTGTTGCCATATATGGCGGTGACGGACTCTGCATATTGTAACGGATGTAAGTATATAATGTTTTCTATAGCTTCAAAATAAGATTATTTTTTACTGTTAACAAAAGTATGTCGCATTCATATCTTATCCCATAAAAATCTTAAGTTACCCTTTTACATTATTATTCTTATTCTTATTATTATCTTTATTATTACTGTCATTTTTATAAAAATTATACCTCTAATTATAACTATTATTATTATTAATATTATAATTATTATTTTTATTTTATTATTATTATTATTATTATTTTTATTATTATTATTATTATTATTATTCTTATTATTATCTTTATTATTACTATCATTATTATAAAAAATATAGATCTAATTATAATTATTATTATTAGTAGTAGTATTATTATTATTTTTATTTATCATTATTTTCATTGTTATTATTATTATTTTTTTTTTTTATTATTATTATTATTATCATTATTATTATTATTATTATTATTATTATTATTATTATTATTATTATTATTATTATCATCATCATTTTCAGCATCCTATGGAACAGAATTTATTTTCGGCCTTTTGGATTTACCGTTTTACGTACAGAACAATCAGACAGCACTGAATCCACACATGAGTGTAATGGTTACCCCTGAGAAATATTCAACGTATTATTACGTCACTCTTCAAAGTACAAACTCCGCTAGCAAAACGCCCACTATCGTAAGAACGCAGTACTATGCATACAGACAAGGTGAGGAATTGAAGTTTAATTCCACCTTTATCAACAGGTACCAAGATATTTCAACAGGTGGTGTGATCAACATTACTTCAGATGAGCCAGTTTCGCTAATGGTCATTTATAAATTCACTGACGGCGATAAAACAGATATGATAACGTATCCTGTCTTACCGACGAGCGTCTTGTCAACTGATTACGTCATACCGTCATATCCAGCGTCTTCCGATTACCACGGGAAAAATCAGTTTATGGTAGTCGGTCTTCACGATTCAACGAGCATTAGATTTGAAGGATATGAGACAGGCTCGATGGTATATGATGTGGATGACAACGATATTTTCATGTATGAGCGGAGAGTTGATATTAGTAGTACTTCCGCTGTGAGCAATCATCCGGTAGCCATTTTTTCGTGGATCACTGCCGGGGATTATTCGGGCGCTCCGAACAAAGACTATGTCGGGCGATCCTTAGCGATGCAAGTACCACCATTGGATGAGAGTGCCGTCCATTTTGTCATTCCGCCGTTGACTGGTGATTCGATTCATCGGTACAATGTACGTATATATGCGTCCGCTCGGAATGCTCAAGTGGAGATCCACTCGACTTCACAAAGTACGCAGTACGTGCATGTGTACAATAAAATTTACTACGAATATACGGCTATATTCAGTTCCGACATATTGGAGATATTGTCTGACAATCCGATAGTTGTTGTTCAGATTGCCTTAAATACATACAGCATGCCACTGTTTATGACGTCAGTACCAGCAGTTTCACAATTTATGACGTCATACAAGGTGAACTTTCCTTACATATCCTCGTATAGTTCCCAGCGGTCAGTTGTTGTGACAATCCCATACAAGGAAGCATCAGGAGTATTAATTAACGGGGATCCAATCATTCATGACACTAGCTCGGTACATATTTGCTTTCTTTATGCTAGGCTCTTTGTGTCGACTCTACGGAGTAGTGACGATATATAGGGATCACTTCTCCGTCGTCTGTCTGTATGTCCGTCCGTCACATAACTTGTCCGGACCGATAATATGATCAATATTGTGTCTAGTTGTGCATCTCCTCAACATTTTTCGATTTAATGATTATTGTCAGAGTTAAAACCATTAATGAGCTTGATTTTTAAAATTTGTCCAAACTATTCCCGTTGTACTACAAATGTAATTTTAATGATGCTTTACTGGATTGACCGGTAATTTTACAGCCGAGTTATGGGCCTTGAATAAAAAAATGTGTTTTGCCCTGTTAATGATTTTTGGTCTCCTGCTACACAGTAGCTGCAACTATGAGGCGACACATGTCATCACTGATGGCCCTTGTTTATGATATGACACTTATTAAACATTTTTTAATTTGTCAGAAAATTACTGACGAAATAAACATCCATTAAATGATATTTCATCTTTTTTATACGAAAAAAAAAATTGAAAAGTTTATAAAAATTGATAGTTCACCGCTCGAAAACTAAGCTTAAAAACATAATCCTTCAGTTTCGTATTTATAAAAGGGAAGGAAATCGGTTTGCTTAAATGTAAAATATGTAATAAAATCTCTTTTTTATGTGAATATTTGTACAAAATCTTTTGACCTGTTATAACCAAAGAGTACCAAGTGCAAGTCTTTTTGAAGTATCGCGTACTCTGTTTTATTGTTTTACAGCTTAAAAAATCTCCGCTCGGTCACTATGCCATTATCATACATAAAACAAGCCGTTCTACTTTGACTGTGGACCATGCAGGAGTTGAACAATTCGGCCTCATTGCTCTCCGGCAGTGGCAAGCGTCTCGTGGCGCGGTTGAGGCACATGGTTTCGTTCCTGGAATACAGTTTGAGGAATTAAGTAAGTTATTTGCATTTTCTTAACTGTACATATTATGAATTCTTCATAATAAATATACCTTAGACCTACTTTTTATCCCATGAACAAAATGAATGATTTTACCTTTACTCTACAATCAAATTATAATAACAATATTCAGTTATGCTATGTTCTCACCGCCGATCAGATCAACTCGATCGTCCCGATCACATAAATTCCCCGATGAAGCCCGACCAAGCTGGATTAAATGCACATTCACGACTCCTACACGACCTCCTCAAGTCGACCCTACACGATGTTTTACGACTTCTTCTCGACGACAACCCGACCAACATCCCGACTTCTTCTCGATCACCCAGACCTATACGCGAGTCATACACGATCTCAACTAGACTAACTGGACCTCTGCTCGATCGTTGCCAGATTTCCACCCGACCAGATCGGATAATGCTCGAGTAGAAGTCGAGATGATCGTGTACAGATCGGGTAAGAGATGTATACCCGACCAAACTAGATCGTTACACGATTTATTCTCGATCAACTAGATCTTCTACTCGATCACTATAGGATCAATTCTCGACCGCTTATCTACTCGATCGCTACTCGAATTTTTTTGACATGTCAAAAAAATTCGGGTAGGAAGCCCGAGCCATGCCGACCAAGGTAGACCGCTCCGACCACCCCCGATCACGCATGCAGACCGAACTAGACCGGTACCCGATCACTTGATCGTGCTTGATCGAGTTGATCTGATCGGCGGTGAGAACACAGCATAATAACAAGTTTACGTTTGACAAAAGCACTTAACCCAAATTATTTCTTTTAAATCATATTTTCAACGGCACGGCACGTCTGGCTTGACTTCATTGGCTGATTTTCAAAAACATGAAAGAATAGGCTGAGTTGTATGTACTTACATATGCGTGAGTGCGTGCGTGGATAATTTCGGAAAGCACGAAATGTAACGTCACAAATATCATCTTTAATATTGTTTGCTTTTAGACTGTGGCTCAGTGCATACAAGTCAAATTGTAGGTACGTATCATCTAGTTTTCATCCGCAAAAATCGGGTTTTTAATCTCTTAGAAATTCTTTTCAAGAAAAAATCGGTTAATCACATTAATAAGATGTTGATTATTTGAAATATGCAGCGTAACAATGCCTCCGGGTTCATGCCATTCTTCATGAAAATTTTAAAAATGTGTTCTAAAGTAAAATAGTCTGAACACTAGAAATTAATTACACTGACAATCCACGTAAATTACCAAAAAGAGACCAAAGGTGCAAAAAATAACCTTTGCTGTGTTAGTCACGCAGTAGAAATATGGTTATCAATACTGTAAAATCGGTCATTAATCGGTTTTAACTTGAAAATTATAACTTGAACCTTTTTACTTTTCTTAAAATATTTGTATATTTTCAGTGTGATTTTCTTGAAATATTTTGACTCATCTGGAGGCATGCGTCTTGAAAGCTTTAACACCGCATTACAGTCAATAACAAATTAATTTATGAATTTATTACAGTTTTATATTTTCATAGAGATTTACTGTTTGGATAATTTATAATCTTAACGACTTGATTTAATTGATACTAATTTTATAAAAAAAAATGATAAGTATATAACATGACAACCGACTGATAATTGACAGAAAACTGTGTACATGTATGCACCTATAACTATGGTAATTACATGATGTCCTTTTGTTTATTTTCAGGCTAAAAGGGACAGAAGCAAAACTATTACATACTTAAACATTTTAAACGGGAGGAAATCTGATTCTTTTTTAAATTTGTAAACAATTCCTTATGAAAATATAAATAAATAATGAATTCAACTTTTGATATTCAATATGCTCTTATCGGGTAAAAAGCTAAACCCGCTTACGTCACTTCCGGAGCTTACGTCACTTCTGTTATTATGAGCGTTCCCTCTAGACGGAGACAGGCATATCTGATAAATGTCGAGAACTTAAAAAAGATAGGGGGAGGTAAATACGTCTCAGTTTTATGCAAAAAAGTGGACAAAAATTTTCCATCGGTAGTATTTTATTATGAAATTAAGTCTGTTTTTTCTTATATTTCTTTGACGATTAATTTGAAATGTGGTTGACGTTCGGATCCATTTTTAATAATCGATTTGTCCCACTTTCTTTTACAAAATGCAGGAAATTTTACGTAACTAGGGAAAAGAAGCTCACCAAATATTATCAGAAGTCAATTTTCAAATTGTGACAGTTTGTTATTTAAAAGAGAAGTTTTTAAAGAAAAAAAAAATATTATGGCACATTATGCTTCAGAAACCAATAAATGTTTACCTTTTTAGAAAGGGCAAACATGAGTGTTATTATATTTAAATATTGGTACTAGAGCATGCTAGATGTTTGTTACCGGAAGAAAGTAGTAATTAATGTGAAATTATTCATCATGAAAGTAGCAAAATGTAAACAAAGTAGTATTTTTACTTCCATACAAAATACCAAATCACTATTAAACGGCTTTATTTTCCAACAGAAACAGAAGGAAAATATAGTTCAAGTTATAAGCCAAAGAGTTATTTTTTGAAATCTATAAAAGTACACCAAAAATAAAGACTTTTAAGAAATAGAAATAAAAGCTTTTAAAAGACATAATGGGCCTTTAAATTGATTTAATCAATATTACGAAAGTTAACATGAATGAATTGATAATAAGGAATTTACGCTCAGAAAAAAAACATGCTCAAAATCAGATAGCAATGCATTTTTAATTTATAACACTTTGTCACATTATTATAGCCATTTTAAGGAGAAAAGAGTCCATTTCAATACTGGTGTGCGTGGTTTTAATACTGAAGTGCATGAAACTTCAATAAGTCATTTTTTAAAGATTTTTCATCCAAAGCCAAATGTTGAACTAGATCTACTTTGTTCGTTTTGTTTTTCAAATAAAATATGAATTGATGGAAGGTGAAATGATCGGTCTGTTTTATGTCCCTTTGTTATTTAAGTACGGACAACTTTAAAAGAAACATTTCTGTCCAAAGTCATATCTTTGTATATAAGAATACAGAGAATACAGCAAAGTTGCTCTTTTTAATATAATCCAACATTTTGTCTAAGTATAGTTAAGATATATAGTCTTGTTCAAAAATATCAATAACTATATCCTATATGGAAGTCTAATGTTTTAGATTGTAGGATCTGTGTATAGTTTAAAAAAATAAAATTATGCTAGATCTTTAATTAATATAAACATGTTAATCATACAATGACATAGTCAACGGAACGTCTGTGGTTCTACTCAGGTACAGGTTTGTGACTGAAATAATTCGATGGCATAGTGCTATAAGGGGATAAGTGAAAAATGACAGTTTTGAGATAATCAAGAAAAACTGTCTGCTGCTTTTATTTGTTATCATTTTTAAAAATGACTTTGCATGCTTGTAAACGAGTAATGTTAGAAGCATTACAATCATTTTTACCTATTGTGTGGTCGTTTGTTAGTTCAAAAATGATTTAATAATTACTTAACACCTTATAACATTTGCTGAAATGACAAGTTGCATTTCGGTAAAAGGCGTTATCTGCCACTTCACTCCTTTTAGAATAAACAATGTAACCATATCATAACCATATCATAAGTCAACATACAGTGACAACTGCCACTTACCACCTGACTTTCTATTACTTTTGAAATCAAATGATCAAAGAATTTTTATAAGTCTCAGTATTTAACAATATTTCGGTTGTTTTCTAACATACATGTATAATTTTATGCCGACATGCAACTTTCAACTTCTCCACTTAAAATTATTGAAAAAGTGAAAAATGATAACAAACTAGTTCAAAGGTATTTTTAAATCCTATTTTGGCATAGCTGAAGGAAAAATAATGCACAATGACACCAAGTTTTAAAATTAAATTTATTTCATTTCAAAACCATGAAAACCTTTAACATAAATTTGTGACATGTGCTTATATTAGCATCATGTATTGACATTAAAACAAGTAATTCATTACCTTCATGAACAAGAACAATTAAAAAGAAACAGGATAACAAATTGTAATCAATTAATTGTCCACAATCTCAAGTTTGAAACACAATTCATGTTATAGTTCATATTTATAATAATGTTATTCATGATGTATTAAAAACAACTTAGAAGTGTATTTATATAAGTGTTTATGCTGATAAATGAAAGTATTTCATTATGTTTGCATGATTTCGTAGTTCATGCTGTGTTCATTATTACAATGCCAATGGACCGTTTCCTAACAATTAAATCATTTTGAAAAAAAAATCAATTTTTTATACTGAGTTATAGTTCAACATTCATCTGATTCATGGTCTTCTCTGTGGGGTAGACTACCATAAAATGAATGGTATCTTGGCGGTTTTATTTGCCTTTGGCACAAACTCAACAAATCGTCATATTTTTTTTTCGATAGACATATCTGACTATCATATGCATTCTTTAATGCATAGCCCTCAATTGTTCTCATTTTTCTTCTCAAATTAGGCCGTGCAATTTCAATGAATTTGAATTCAGTATTAACTTCATACTTGTAGTAAATTCTGTTTGGCTCAGATTTACGGTATTCAAATACGTGTACCTTTGTCCACTGAAGTGTTGAACCATCTGCTGCCTTGCTTCTATTAGCCACAATATGATCAGCCAAATCCTTAAAATCTTTATATATCAGATGTAGCCACTTCAATTACTTTATATCTTGGCTCACTGGCTTTGCTATTCGACACAGCTGACATCCAATCCGTAGGACCAAACATATCATGCTTTTTCGTAGCTTTTTCGATAGTGGCATGTACAGAGTCTCCCTCCATTTGCGAATGTCCACGTTCAAAAAAATTGTGAGTGATTGTGTTAATAGGCATATTCTGTACACAATATAAACACATACTGGAGAAAGGAAGATTTCTGTTCTGTCCAGAACAGCTGTCGGAGTAGTATATATCAAATGATCAACTGCTCCAAGACTTTCATTGAATTTGTATATACATGAAGAGATATCATTGCTTCCTCGCTTAGCAACTGATTCATACCACATGTAACATGATGCATGCTTTTGAGACTATGTCAAATACAGTAAAATTATATGTAGCTAACTTCCGGCTGTAGTAAACTTCACCTATTTCTGTTTGGGTGAAATCAAAAACTTTTTGAAGATCAAAAATTTATTACACGTGTATTTGTATCTTCCAAGGCCTTTTCTTTGTCATTTTTGTTTCTGTTGTCGAATTTGATCTTTTCTTTGTTGATGTTCAAGGTATTCACTCTCTCTTTCTTTCTTTTTGCATCATCAAGACTTTTATACACTTCACAAAAGGTGCATAAGTCTTTTTTGGGGTGATGAAAACCAAGATGAATTCCTTATTGAATATAGAGTTATACAGCCAGAGCTTCTCAGGAATTGTGTTGCTTTTCTCTCACACTCTTCCACATACATTCTATACATTTTATTTACTTACAAGCCCTTTTCGAGATATTGCCTCTCGGTATCCCTTCGGCAGTAATGTGAATTTCTACTCTCTGAAATTTGTCTATGTGTTTCCGTATTCCATCTCTGGCTGCTTTGGAAACTTCAAATCTTTTTATGCCGACCCCTCTATCTGTAGTGTCATATATCTTGTCTCTATTCATCGTGTACTCGATCACCTTTGGTCCAACATCTAAAAATATTCATGAAGCTACTTTTACAAATTTGAATCAAATCATCACTATCATCATTGAGCGGGAAGAAAATATTCATAAGTTAATTTCCTCCTAGATTTCATCATTAGTTGTTGTTCGCCCCGTTTTTTACTTATAACTTTTATATGATGTGATATTAAGTTTCGTTGAGTCTCATATGACAAGTTCCATTTAATGGTTGAATATTTCCTCTCTCCTTTCTTTTTTTTTATTTTACTTGTGCATCTGTATTTGCATTTACAACTGATTGCCTTTGATGCCTTCATCGGAACTGTAACCTCTTTCTCATTATAATAACATTGTCCATGCTGCCGCCTTCTTTTTTGTAATTTCACGTTTTGCCATTTTATCAGGTTCTCTGGTGCGTTTCCTAGAGTTGCTCTTTTCAATATTCAGGAGTTTTGGCATATGAATGTACACATGGTTCCTCAAGGTTTTGTATGTGCATAATTTTTTTATTTGATTATTATTTTCTTTGGGTGAATTTTTCATATTCAGAATCATCAAGTACTTGTTACTTGGCACATATTCAGATCCAGAATCATTTTATTTTATTTTTTCGGAACCTTTGACTTTCTGTTTCTAAAGTAATTCAATAACTAGATAAAAATATTATTATCCAGACTTATTTCCACTTCACTTCCTATTTGAATCATTTAAACTTATATCAATAGGATCCGAAGGTACCCAAATCAACTGGTGCATACAAATCATTGTCTAGTTCATCTTTAAGAGAGGAATTGTTGCATAAAATATTACCAATTTTCATCGGCAATGAAAAAATCTGAAAACACTATCTTCTTCATTATCATTTGTAACATAAAACCTGTGTATAAGCATTCATCTAATTAATATCTTCAAGTGGTAAGTCGGTTCGATTGTTTTATCAGAAAAATTGCTTTCATTTTTGCATTACTCGCTTCTCTTCTAATAAGTTCATTGATAGGAACATATCGTCTGAATCTGAATTTTCAAAATGTATCTCCATTTTCTGTTTAACATGAACTACTGGTATTCTTTTTAAAGATCAGCTTTCTGTTCATTATTCTTTGTTCACAAACAACTGCGAGTATACTCTCAAGATGAAAAAAATATGGTTTTGCGATCATTTTTTTAAGTAAAGATTCTTCTGACATTGTTTTGATG